CGAGTTGCTACATTGTATAAAAGTCACCGCTTTGCTCGCCTCTACTCACCGAGAAGTCTGTGTGTGGGGCTTAAGCTTGGCGACAGACGCTGGCTCCATTACTCAAGATTCAGGCCCTGGCAGGGTGAGGCCACTTTCCTTTCAGGATTCACATGCCTTGTGACCTGGTTTCATTTGAAGACTATGAACAAGTGAGTAGAGGCCATAATTGCAGATCAAAATGAGACATTTTCACTCGCTATCAGATTGCAATATTTAGTAACTCACCTAAATTTGACAGAATCGGGAAAGCATAATATCTGCAGTGCAATGTGGTTGGAAGCTGGGGTGGGGGGGGGGTGAAACGTGACTAAAAGTGTATCATATTCTTGGTTCTTTCGGTAAAGTCACTTAGAAGGGAAATAATAAATAATTAAAATATATTTTTATTGCTTTCTATTATTTTTATTTTATTATTTCCCTTCTACGTGACTTTACCGAAAAAATCAAGAATATGAATCCCTGCAGTCACGAAAGCTTTAAATTAAAAGTGTATCATTAGGAGGCCAAAATATGTAAATTCGACAGCAGGGTTTCGAAGCGAGCTTTCACACCACCACGAATGTCCTCATTCTTCGTGCCCTTACAATTGATGGATCCCCAAATGGCACGAGAGTTTGTGAGGGCTCACCAAAGTCCATAACAACTCAATCTTCAGAAACCAATATTACTTGTAGGAACCTCCTGGTTACACCAGCCCACAGGGGATTATTGTGTCCGTCCGTCAGTCGTGCAGGGAAGGGCTGGGTGGGGACGGAGGGATTGGGTTGGGAGGGGAGGATGGGGAGGGGCTGGGTGGGGAGGGTGGGGCTGGGTGGGAAGGGTGGGGCTAGGTGGGGAGGGGCTGGGTGGGGAGGGTGAGGCTGGGTGGGGGTGGGAGGGCTGGGGCTGGGTGGGGAGGGGCTGGTCACCCCGTGGTGCCCTTATAAAGCTCAACGTTTAACCTACTCACGCCGGCTTGTGCCCGCCCTCACAGTCGGGCATATTTGCGGAATACACCACGCCGCCGTTGACCCTGGCCAGTGACCGAGCAACCCAACGTTCCTACCAGCTCACTCCGCAGGAATGTGTTCTCACTGCAGTGGTTCAGCTACAGTATCGACCGTGAGGTACAAAAGTCATGACAATTATTAGCTGTGCGCCACGTTTTTTTTTTTTACAGAGGCTCATTTCACGCTGACATGCAAGGTGTGAAAATGTACGGTTCGAGAATGAGATTCCTCAATAAAACAGCAGTAGTGTCATTGATTTGGTGACAGTTGAAGGTTAATGCTATTGGTGTAACAATGCAGCGATTCATCAATTATTGTGAATTATTATAGCTCAGGAAACGTGCATCAGATCTTGTGCGTAAGAATTTGTTTTGAATTATTTGTAAAAGTGTGTAATGCATTCACGTGACCTTTAAAGCCACCAGAGGCCGCTACAAGTTATCACAATGTAAAAAAAATTATATTGTTGAATCTAAGGACCGGCCCTGAATCGCAATAATGTATTTAATAGATCGTGACACCCTTACAATTTAAGTGGGCTGCACTGCAAAATACCATTCTTGCACTCTGCAAACACACAGCAGGAAAGAAAACCCAACAAGGGTTTTATGTTAAATTCGTCAGAATAATTATTCAGTACGAGACACGATTAGCATTATCTGCGGTGTTAAATAATCATTGGAGTTTCACACGAACAATAGAAAGTAAATGTTGTGGGTTTACTCTCCAACACACCGGTGTGATGTACTAGTAACGAATTCGTATGTTTTGTTTACGTGACAAACCCCTTACTAATTGGCTGTGTTGGGTGGTGGCGGGTTTAACGACACACTTATATTTACGCGATCTAATCCAAAAAAAACCTCTAGCATGAACAATAGAAAGGTTACAAACAGGACAAAACCCATTCGGTCCATTCAACTTGTTCGAATGTCAGTAGCAGATCGATTCTACAATCTCATCGAGGTGTTTATTTTAGAGTTCCGGTAAATCTGCCTCCACAGCTCGTTACCGATTGGGTGCTATTTAGAAACGTATACATTTATCAGCATATACATAATAAACAAGCCCTTCCTCCATCAAGCGAGTGGGCGAAGGCCTCCCCCATGCCTTGTTAGTCGTTTGGGTTATGCAACCATACTTCACCACGCTGGTCAGCATGGGTTGGTGAAGGGGAGCCCATTATTGTTTCAGATATCACTCGCCAAGGACGTAGGGAATTGCAAGCAATGGAACTCGGGTGGCTGTAAATGACTATAAATCATTGTATTTGCCCCAAAAAATGTCAATCGCGAATAGACTCAAGAGTCCCAATGTTTTTGTTCAACTTTAATATAAAATTACTCATCTAAATCCGAGACCGATATTGTAATGTCTGTTGCATGCTGTTGCGATGAAATAGTTTAATTTACAAAAGTATCGAGCACTCTACTGCCACCGTGTGGATGGTTGCTGTGGACTTGTTGCCTCAAGCATGGCTATTGGTTATTTGTTAAAAAAAATTAAAGTGGCTACATTTTTCCTCATTGAAAAAAAAGTCAAGGGCACATTTTTTTCTTTTGTTTACTTTTACACCAATGATTATTTTATTACTGCTGCTGTTACATTCTTACTTGTGGATGCTGTAAATCACAGAACCCCATTATTGCTGTTAAAACTCCCATGAGTGCTTTGGAACTCCTCAATGAAAACCGTCCACGTTTGTCTCAAAAAGCCAGCTTCTTTGCTGGCACCTTGTGTTTGTTCCCAACAGGCCGCACACTGTGTATACAATGGTATCATCCATTATGTAAAAAAAAACAATTAGACAAAAAGTTTGAACTGTGGTTGAAATATTCACATTGTCTTCTTAAGAAAATTTTGAACAGCACGGAACAGAATTGTTGGAAAAAACGACTCATAATAAAGGTTACTTGGGTTAGATCGCGTAAATATGAATGCGTCGTGAAACCCGCCACCACCCGGCACAGACCATTAGTAGTTTACCACGTAAACAAAATGTGCCAATTAGTTGCTACTTCAGCACACCGGCGTATTGGAGAGTAAACCCACATTTACAATTTGAGTAGTGACTTTTCGCTGGTGATTGTCCAGCTTCATCAGGCGATTTCACAGAATTGTGAAAAGATCTTCCCGTTTCCGGTGGGTTAACGACACATTTATACTTATACGCGATCGAACCCAAAAAACATTCATTATGAATATTGGTCACGAAACCCGACGTCGTTAAACCAAGACAACTACACCCAAGATGTTGGCCAACATCTGGGTCCCCCTCAAATCTCAACATGACGCGCCGCCAATGCCATGGCGGGACAAGCGGCAGTTTAAGAGGGCAGAAAATGGGCAGCACAACCGGAGATTGGGCTTTTGTTGCGATTCTACCATGAATCTTAGTTAAGCCGGAGTCATGATGAGCTCAAGCATCGCCGATCCCAGCCGGCCAGAATGGAAAATCTGGCCAATTTCAGCTGGCCAAATCTGCCTCTGAATTGCATTGCCAATGTCGAGTTGCATGGAACCGACTCGTGTCCATCCCAATTCCAACGTGCCGTTCAGGCAAAATCGAAGGTACCTTTGGGACTGAAACAAGCTGGATATGGGTCCTTACCCGCACCCATGTCAACGCAGAGCAGCTACATGCACAGCCAGGGCTCCGTATACATGTAAGAAACACATCATGCTGCCAAGCGCGCGCGTGTGTATACATTTATTGACCTAGCTCATGCTAATAACTGTAATTATTCATTCATGGATGACACCTGAATGGACACTATACATTTTTTTGGAAGCTTGTGGTCTCCAGAGCAGCTGAGGGCACGGCTTTTCACATTAGGCAACAGTTTTGACCAGTGATATTGCAACCAGTGTGCCAGCATCGTGTTTCGTCTGCTGCATAAACCGTGCTTCTGTGGTGCGCTGTACATGCTTCCTCTGCTGTGCATCAGGAAAACAAGCTGGCCACATCAGATGCAGAACGTTTGCACACTTGTGTTCGGATGCTTAATATTTAAGTGCTCTTTGTTGGTACCAATCGGAGAACAGCAAAAAAAAAACGTTGAAAACACTTTGACGAGTTACCATCGAGTAAGACGTGGAACGAGACAACAAAATGTCTGTTAAAGTTGCGACGACAAACAAAAGAAAAAAAACCCAGCAGCCTCTCGTGATGACCATTCCAGTTCTTTCCACGACCTCTACAAACGCCAACCGACTGGTCACACAGCCTCAGCATGCCGTTTGCTTAGTTGGGTTGCCACGATATGGTAATATTACGATTTATTGAAAGATGCCCGATAATCGCATTGTTCGTTTCGCTCAATAGCCTCATATTGTGCTTTGCTCACTTTCATACTATGTTTGAAATAAAGTTTTGCTGGCTGGCGCGGGGAAGTGTGTGTGCGAGGTGGTGACGTCACTGCGTGATGTCATAAGCTGCATCCCACGAAGTTGAACCAGGTTCTTGAATGTCTCCCCCTCACCCCCGTGCGTGTATCCCACGCAAATGCACAGGATATGCTATCACACTATCACACAATATTAGATAGACAAGTTTTTCTCTGGCTGGCTGGCTGAAAATAGGGACGGATGGTCACATGTGTGGCCTGCTAGTATATTAACAAACTTATTTTGTCCCCAACAAAATGTTTATAAAATAACAGTAATTAAAGTTCACAATCACGAACAAAATATAAAAAATAACTAGCTGTTGCCCATTAAATTTGTGCTTTGTAAAATGTTTTCTGGATAAATTGACAGCAGTGATTATATAACAGCATGTGCATTATAAGCATGATGAGGTGTACAGATGTAAAGTTTAGCAAGACTTCTGGAAGTCTGGTTCTCAGCTGTGGCCGAATAATTTTTAAGCAATCGATAAATCATACTTGAAGTACATTGATGCACAACATCGTGATGAAAAATAACGTGAATCACAATTACAAAGTCAAGGGGCAACTGATACCGTGATCATTTTCACATCGTGAAATTTAATATCATATCATGAAACATTATATCGCGGCAACCCAAGTGTGTAAGTGCATCACTGTTTGGTTGGGCGTGAATTAAGGACAGTATCAAAGTAGAGAGAGAGAGAGAGATAAAGGTGATAATATGGATTATTGCTTTTAAATTGATGTAAATTGTTTCAGTTGAAGTAACACCGGTGAGACAGAGTGAAAATTGGTCTGGGTTTTAGCAAAGCTACGTTTTTGAAGGCGAAAATGTGTTGACGTACATCTCTTTGCTCAACGCTGGAAAATGAAAGTGAATATTTGGCTTCATTTGTTGCAGCTCTCTTCTACTCGCGTGAAAATAGTCCACAGGACACTTTTCTCATAAAAATGAACATGAAATATTGCATTTACACGAACATGTATCCTCCGTCCTCGTACACAAAACAATAACCGTAATAACAACCGAAGGTCCAATGTCACATTAAAATTGTGAATATAAACAAGAGCAACAAAATGTACAATGTTTAATGTTACATTTGTAGTAAATATTAAACAGGTTGTCATGTATTTGATTATAAAACATTTGATCGAGCAGTTTTAAGAGCAGTAATCACGACAATGGTTGCAAACAGTACTTAAGTTAATATTGCTGATTGTTTCCCTGAACGTGTGAGGTTTGTTCCCTCAAGTTCACCTAGGACCACAAAGAAATATTATTCGGATCTAAGGCACTTAATGTGTTTTTTCTCGCAATCACATTTAGAGGATGTGCATTGAAAAAATTGTTGTACCACCAATTAACGTCGTATTTGTGCAATTTCAGGTGAGGCGTAAGGTTTACGAAAATTGCCTAATTTGAAAAGCCAGCGGGCAGCAAAGGCTCATTGCTGGGATGCTGGGGAATATACCCAGAAGAATCAAATAGTAGATTTACTCCAAATTGGTGTCTCCAGGATAGAGCCCCTTTCAACACAATCACATGTCGTGTTAAAAGAGAGGTTGTCAAAGAAAACACATGGTGCATATTCAACTTTAACAATCATTAAATTAAACGTAAATTCCTGATGTTTTTTGTGTATCCATTGTGCCTCTGGGGCCAGAACTATTATTTTTAACTCGTCAAACATGATAACTTTGGAGATGTTGGGTAACTGCCAAACCAAAATTAAAACGACCCCGTGCAATTGTCATAATGGAAATAGCAATCTGTATAATTTAACAGTAAATAACATTTTGAAGAAGAAAAAAAACACCCATACAAGTCATATGTACATATAACCTTTCAGTACAAAATCGCATTTAAAAACAAGGTGCTGAAAAGGAGATAAAAAAGCATTAAAGCGGGCAATACCAAAAAACAAGGGAAAAACAAATTATGTACACACGCCAAAAAAAAATTACAATTAACTTAATTCAGTGGTGCCAGAGAACGGAATAGATTTCTCATCTTCACCCCGATGACCTAAACACCCGTGGGCTCATTAGCTCTGGTCAGAGTGACAGCCACACTATGTCCGTTGTGCGAGATCCGGCACTCCCGCGCTGCGTCCTGCCCCTTGCTGTCCACTGCGGCACGGCCGCTTGCACCGCTGGCCTCTGCTGGCACGAGCAGGTGTGGGATTTGTCCAGGAATTAGGGGCAGGGCCTTCACCGTGGAAATCTTGGTAGCGAGCGGGAGGGACATGACAGGCAAGCAGCGCAGGGAGGTGATGCCACTGCTACTCACGAAGCCGATGGTGCATTCTGGGACAGCGGGAAGCAGGGCGGCATTGGTCGACGCGAGCAGCTGTGAGCTTCCTCCGCCGCAGCCGGCACCGCCGCTGCCCACCTGCAGCACAGGGCAGCAAGGTCCGCTCTGCCTGAAGCTGCGAGTGCAGGGGGAGGTGACTGAAGAGGCTTGGGGAGCGAGGGGAGCTGGCTTCGGGTCTTCCTGCGTCGCATTCGCGGTGCGCCTCCTCGGTCCCGGTCGGGCTCTTGTCCGCGGGGCACTCGCTGGGGGACCTGGAGCCTGTCGAGCGTGGTGGCTTGCCGGACGGGTGCTGCTCAGCTGCCGAGCCCTGGGATGCGGATGCTACCGAAAGGATCTCGGTCGAGTCGATGCTGCCCTCCTCCTCCTCGTCTTCATCGTCACTATCGTTGTCGTCCTCAGAATCGTCGCCTTTCTCTCCCTCGGCGTACCCGCCTGCAATGACAACATAGACTGTTGATTGGGAGGAGTGAACAGCTCTCTCGAAGTTCAAGGGCAGCAGGACAAGGACACACATTTGCGCTTGTTTTCATTGTTCACGCGAATGCATCGTGCAAGTGTAATTGGTTTTAAGGCAAACATTAAAGCCTTTTTTTTCTCCCCATTTTAGCTCCTCAAGGCAGCTGGGCCTAAAACCACATTGTGAGATGATCTCTTACGTGTAAACTCTTGTCTTCAACTGAAAAAGATTATGAAAAACCCACTGCACTATTCGCTCTTTTCCAGAAGCAACTTGGCCACAGGTTGCCTCTGGAAAGTAGCAGCCAAATATCGAGTTTCTAAATGTGGAGGGGAAAAACCATGCAACCACCACAAAGAGAACTTGCACACAATGGTGGAGCCAGGATTTTCAGGTAGGGGGGCAACCCCTCCAGCAATGAAAAATGATAGGAGTTGTTAGTAAGTAAGGAGTTGTCCCTTGCTTTTTATTCGACGCGTGTGCGGCGATGGTGCAGCCATCGATCGAGGGTCAAATGCGAATCGCGTTGTGTGATCGGCATCACACAATTCTGTGAGTCACTCATAACTGCTTTGCCGTTACTTATGGCCAATTATGGACTCCGACTATTGTCCTATCATCTCATAGAGTCCCTGGCACGTAACAAAATGCTACACGGTGGCAGTGGGGGTCGCAAAATGCCGATTTACTACTAATAAACCCCAATGATCTGATCGAAATTAGGGAATTCGATCGGATCATTGGGGGACACGTGCCCCCCCCGCACCCACTGGCTCCGCCAGCGCTTGCAAACCCACGACCTCCTGCGTACAAGGCGACTAAGTTAACATCTCGCTACTGTCGTGCAAAGATCTGTGTGTAACGCATCCACTAGACTGCGCTACATTGTGTGTTTTTGTTTCCAGCAAAAGTGAAATGTTCACTCCGTAGCTATTTGCTGAAAAAGTGTTCCGAGCAGGGCACTGCATTTGCATCTGCAATAATAACATTAGCCCAAGGGGAGGCAGTACTGCACCAAAATAGTGACATTCAATTACTAAATCTTGACTTAAAGCTTTCGTGACTGCAGGAATTCATATTCTTGGGTCTTTCGGTAAAGTCACGTAGATAGGTTCAAAGAAAATAACAAAAAATAACAAAAATAACAAAAAACTACGACGTTTCGATCGTCTTCAGGAAAAGGGGGGTGACCGTTTGTGTTGCGATCGAAACGTCGTAGTTTTTTGTTATTTTTTGTTATTTTCTTTGAACCTATCTACGTGACTTTACCGAAAGACCCAAGAATACACATTCAATTAATGTACACAACCGGGCATGACGTCCATTGGTTTACTTACAAGCTCTTTTTGTTGCATGACCTTATAGTGAACATTTAACATTGTATTGCATAAAAGGGATCAGCAATAATTTATCATCTCTAAGTAAATATACATGATGACAGGACGGTCTTCCAGACCCGACCACTGGAACAGTGGCACAGTAAGTTGGGATGAGTTTTTCATTTTTGTTCAGATTGTTTTTTACTATAGCTCGAATTTCGTATATTTTTGTGGAATTCTGACTAATACCATCAAGGTGACGTCACTTCGTGCAACGTCACATTTTTGGTGAAATCCTATATTTATTTATGGGATCGTATCAAATTTTGTATCAAGATCCCGGATTTCAGATGTATTTTTGTGCATTATTCCACATGTCGAGTGCAGAATAGTTGAGGGCCCATTCATAGGGTTCAAGTTCCCATTAAAAATATCATCCTTCTCAAATTGAAAAGGTCAAGAAACTGGAAATATTCAAAGACAAATTGGCCACAAAAGCCCCAGCAGTTATTTCCTGATAGATTTGAGACTTGGGAGAGAGATAAGAGATTGTAAATGATCTTTAATCACTCAAATACATTTCACGCGGATTTTCGTTAAGCAATTCTGTCCCACGAACAGACAGCACTTACTGGCGTCACAGTCATCGTCCGCCTCGTCCAGGGAGGTGCATGGTGTCACTCCTGTGTCCACGCACTTTTTGCTGTGAGTCTTGGACTTCACGTGTTTGGTGAGATTCCCTGACACAGAAAAGGAGTGGTGAATTAGCCACACGACACCCTCAAACACGCACACACACACACTTTCTATGTAATGCAACAAAGACCAAGATGGCTTTAACAGACTCTAGGGGCAAGTGATGTTAGTGAGCACCTATGAAGGTCGGCTCGGCACAAGAGGGGGTTGTGAGGTGGCCAGCACCACGCCCGAACAATTTTGTCTCCCTTGTGGCAATGTTGTTACACACCGTACCAGGTACTCATTTGAGGCCGAGTCGACTTAGGGGAGGCTCCGAACTGATAGAGATAACCGTCACTGGTGTTAGCCATGAGCGGGAATCAAACTCGAGTCGTCGGGTTCATAGCACAGCGCAAAACTGCTACACTATCCTCAAACATGCACACACACACTTTCTAGATAACACATGCGCACACACACATGGAATCATACAAACAAAATACAAAGATCCCATGTATAGCCATGACAGACTTGTCGGGGTTAAGCCACTGTTAGCGAGCACCTACTAAGACTGGCATTGTACACAAAATATGGTGGAATGATCAGCACCGCACACCCAGCCACCCTTTGTCTCATGTTCACACATTGCAACTTGGCACTCATTTAAGGCAAACTACACGTGGGAGACCCTGTACAGATTATTTTCACAGCAGAATATCGACCTCGGGACACCGCATAATTAGCACTTCTCATTGCACCACCACCTCACCCCGCCGCTATCACCCCACCCCCCCCATCTCGGGAGGTGATCGGCATCTCATACCCCCTTGCACCCTGCACAGGCTGTTGGAGCAGGTGCTGCTGCTTTGCAAGCACCCATCACGGCTGGAACGCTGCACGAAGGGGTGGTGCGAAAGCAGGCGAGGGCTCTCATAAAAGTGCTGGCCCGACGGCGCATCAATGCTGCCAGGCTGTGGTGCAGGGTCTAAGTGCAGGGCTGTAGTCCAGCGTTGATAAGGCGTGCAGGGCTCGCGGTGCAGCGTGTTTGGGGAAGCAGACATCCGTACCCTGTTTTGAGTCTGTCCGCTGCGTGCAACTCGGCTCCCCCTTGAGAAACAGGCTTGCAGTCTCAAGGCTCTCTCTGGCATGGAGACGTCTCTCTCGCTCGTGCTCTCTCACTCCCTCCGGGTCCCCGAGCTCACCTTTGGTTTTGAAGGAGAAGCGACAGACGTTGCAGCGGTAGGGCCGCAGGTCGGAGTGCGAGCGGATGTGCTTGCGCAGCATGCTGGGCTTCCGGCAGCGGATGCCGCACTCCTCGCACACGTACTTGCCCCGGCCGCGGCCCCGCACGTACACGTACTCCTCGTTGGACTTGTACCTGGTGGTGAGCATGGGCAGAGAAAGAGAGAGGGCAGCTTGTAATGGAGTAGTAGGTTGAATAATAAACACGACTAGTAACGCGCACATATTTCGCAACGTTCGATCGAGAACTCGAAGGTGCGCAGCCACAGCTCAAAGTCCCTCATATGCCGGCGTGAACCAGGTGGGAGCCTGGGTAGGTGAGCGCTTGGACAGGTGAAAGCCTCAAACAGGTGAGAACCTGGACAGGTAAGAGCCTAAATGAGTGAGAGTCTGAATAGGTGAAAGCCTGAACCAGATAAGAGCCTAAACCAGATGAAAGCCTGAACAAGGTGAGAGAGCCTGGACAGGTGACAGCCTGGACAGATGAGAGCCTTAAGAGCTGCTGCTTTAAGGTGGCTGGTGCTTGGATGCTACGTATCTGCAGTGGGGAAAGTTCCGGACGGTTGCTCGTGCAGCTACATAAAAATACCGCACAGCCAACATAGTCCTTGGCTCTGGGTACGATGAGCAGATTATTGGCCGTGCTCTGTAGAACGTGGCGGTTTGCTGTGGTCGGTGGAGTGAGAAGGGTGGAGAGGTATGGTGGGGGGGGGGGTGACCTTGAGATAGAGATCGATGACACAGGATGGAGATTTTATATTGTTCTAACTTGTCCAGGCCTATGTTATTATGAAATTACTATTTAATTTGAATATACCCTTTTAACTTATTTCAAGAGTGTATGAGGAAGAGCTCACATCTGTGATGTAGAAACTATATTTGCATTAAGGTTGCAAGCACATTTGTAATCCACGGCACTGAAAACACAAAGGCCTCCTCTTGCGAACAAAGTCGCATTTGCTCATTCGTGTCCACTTCAGAGCAGACGAAACGCATCGATAGTCGTGGCCGTGTGGCAACTACTGGGCGGATGCGGGAACCGAAGCACTGACCCCCCCCCCTCCCCGGAGTGCTTAGCGGCCTCAGTGGAGAAATGGACCGGAAAGTGGCTTTGCTGATATTTTGGTTACGGTTCGAATTTAGAAGTGCAAAAAAAGAGCTTCCCGATCATCTCCCATCACATCCGGACGTCTGCTCGGTGCGTGACATCACAGCAACGTGTCCCGCTGGGCTATTTAAAATCTCTCCTCTGCCAGGCATTCCAGAGCAAACACTGGGCGCTCTGCCTGTTTCTACAACAGCGAGATGTATTTTTTATATTTTCCTAAACCAGGGCGTTTACGGCCATAAACTTTAACACAGGTCAAAGGTATTAAAAAGGTGCAGGTGTCCGCCACGGTCCCCGAGGACAAGCCGCCACGTTCGCCCGGTGATGTCATTTAAAAATAAATTAAATGATAAAGCAAACAATGCGTAGGGCATGAGTGACACTTGAGACGTGCGGCTTAAGAGGGGGAGGTTATAACCACCTGCGTAGGATCAAGCCAGCATTGCTGAGAACCTCGGTTGGAATCCCAGCAAAAACTAAAAACCCAGTATAAAACTGGGTTTGCACGTGTAGCGACTTCACTGGTAAAAGTCATGGGCTCATGGTTAAAGGGTTGCGAGTTCAAATCCAGCTAGGATTCAATTAGTTCACGATCATCCCTCTGGGGTCAGAAAAATTAGTACCACCTGCCATGCTCCAGCACTAGTGTGGAAGTCATCAGTGTTGGCGTTAAGGAGGAACTGGGTTCCATCTTTAGCAATGCACCATTGCGTTTACACGACTGGCTCAAGATGAACAATGAGAGACACGCACTGCCCAGCCAATGTTTTCCACCCGCAAGTAACCGTCACGCTTATACTAGGACACCTCGTGAGAATGTTAATGCTCTGCTGCCAATCTTTTTTTTCCACAAAGAAACATATAAAGGCCGTTCCACTGATTAAACCACAACTATTATCACTGCCATTGTGACTTGTTTTCCCGTCTGGTTCCAGTAAATTAAAATATTAACGCTGCCCTATAACCCATGTAACTGCACTCCTTAACAAGGGACCACGGGGCAGAGATTTTGGCCTCGTTCACGCAACGCCTTCGCATCCGTTCCCAGCTCTGTTCAGCAAGCAGGATGTGACATCAGCACAAGAAGTCACGCCACCGCCACGTTTATACACGCTCGACCCTGGGCCAAGAAGATTCACGGTTCAAGCCTCCGAAACGCTACGCCTGCCCCTTCATTGCCCACAGCAGTTGCCAACACACCAACACGCCATGTTAAAACCAACCACACTCCTCTATGCCCCAAGACTCCGTCTCACCAGCAGTCTGCTTTCAGATCAGCCTGGGGCCATGCAGAATGGGTCGTGTCTAACACCGACGACGGTGAGGGAGTTTTTGTTATTAAGCGCTTGTATGTGTACATATATTCAGCGCCCGGGGAAAACCCACACATATGAGGCCAGAATACACAAATCAGTCGCACAAGTAAGCTTAAATAATCCTTTGCCATACTGCATTCTCCTGGCTAGCGCCACAGAGCCCAAGCCTTCGGGTCTTGGAAATCCCAGACATGATGGCGGGAGGGAGAATAATTAGCCAATTACTAAACAGGCGAAACGCGGACTTTACTTCTGAGATTTCATGAGATCGGGAGCATTCAGGGTGAACCAGTCATAGGTGTCACGCATGATTTGGTCGTAGGTGTCACGCACCGGAAGAGTTGGAGATGCAGGCAGCAAGAGAGGAGTCTATATCGATATCTTTCTGTACACCAAGAAACCCGGTGGTTGAAGTTCGTATTAAACACTCATAATATGGTATACGTATCATAACACAGGCACACTTGGCAGGTCAAGAGTGTAATGACGGAGCGGCAGCCAAGGAATGGAACACGTGCCCACGAGCACGCCCGCCGATGAGGTGGAGCGATGAATTCAGCTTGTGCGAAGGCGATGATGGGTGGATTGTTACATCGCATGATCGCGGGAGATGGCGGAAGCTCAGTGGACTGACCGAGGCTGGCTGACGATGGCGAAAAGACCAAGTGTGCGTGTGCATATATGTATCTATAAAAGCCATAGCACACGCCCGCACGGCAGATTTTGCGCGGTGAGGATGGGAAAAACAAGTGCTGTTGCTGAGCGAGTTGCACGCGCGAGCGGGCGGGCGTCGTGCGGCTACGGCAGCGGCGACCGTTTAATCCCCGCGCTGACATCATCATTGTGCTCGGCACAAAGAATGAGCCCTCCCGAGGACGCGCTATGTTTAAAATAACAAGCCTCAATCAGGGTCAGTTAAGACGTGCTTCGTATTTACATTGGGACGGCTTTAAGATGGGTTTATTTATTTTCGTATTTATTTAATTGATTTCCAACGCCCCGACTTTTTTTTCCCCCTCGTTGAAAAGTCGAGTGATGTCATGAGCACAAGTTCCACTGCATCAGCACGGGAAAGTTTTGAAAAGGGAGAAATTTTGCCAACACTGGATGCACCTTCGAAAAAAAAAACGAACAAGAGAACGAAGGAATACAATTTGTAATTACGTACACTCTGCCAGTCGCATGCGATATACGCACCACAACACAGACGCAGACTTGAGAGCGGCCAAAGAGAGGAAGGTTCAAGAATACAACAGGAATTTGAGGCAGCATGCTCGGTACTAAGATAAACAAGATGGCCCGGGGAGAACATGTGGTTGGAAAAGTTGACAAATCGTGTTGGAGTGATGGAAAAGCGCCCACGAAAAGGGAAAAATCGTCATTTTTGGGACAAGCAAAGGGGAGATGGAGCAATGAAATCAAGGCATGTGCATGAGTAACCTCAAATGGAAAACAGCTGTGCCAGGAAAGGAGGGTGTAACTTTGAGTAAGGATAGCAGTAGATTGAGAATGGCTCCAAAAACTATTCCAATTATTTCAGAGCAATCAAAGCTCACCACGTTCACGGCTTGTAACATATTTTCATGGTATAAAACGGTAGTTTAAATCCTCTGAAAACTGTAACATCAGTTTACATTGAATTAGCCAATTAATCTAAATGACAACTCCTTTGTTGACTAAAAAGAACATGAGCAACTGAACTTTCAAATGCTCGTGCACGGTTTTTAGATCCCTGAGTTGAGGGCGTCAATCCCAAGTGGTGACAAGGTAACTGTGTATTTAGAACTCATGGGCTGGTCAAGAGAGAGGGAGAGTGAACGACAAAACAAAGTGAAATTATATCTCTTGTAGTTCTCTTGGAAACCGTAAATTACGATGTGGTGTGCGCTCTGCGACATTGCACTTATGAAAATAAACACTGACCTACGAAAGCATTATGTCACACATGCTTTGGGCGATTTGGTAAGAATTATGGCTGATTAACGGACTTTATGGCGTGTGACAGACACCGCAATGCTGTTTCTTTTGCCCACTCTGAAAAAATATATTCTTAGTTTCCCCTGAGGCTTGACAAACTGAGACCAATTATGGCCTGTTTCAGTTTTACAATAAAAAGGGGATTATTTTTGACCAGCTCCTCACAGTAACAAGGACTTACTTCCTAAACTAAGCACCCTGCAATAAAGTTTTGCTTGTCGTACAAGGTTACAAGATGCCTTAGCCACGCTGCATCATGGGGACAACCCCTAATACCTTTTGAACACACGGATGCTGCCATGGTGTAATGGTTAACACACTGGGGACTTGCGATACAGAGGTCACCAGTTCAATTTGATCTCCCAGCGCGGAAGTTGAAACACTACCAGCAGTATAAGTGGGTTACCCACTGTTGTATGTATATTGAACTTATTTCGCACCGTAAGTAGCCAACAGTGCTAATCGGAGGTGCGGGAGAAAGAGAACAAACTAAATACAAAAGGCAGTTCGAAATAAATTATTTTTTCCATCGAGTCAATTGGCAGGTCGCGTGTTGTGGGATAAAGTGCGGGCGCTGCAACTTCTTTTACGACGTCTGGTCAGGGTTAAAGAGTAGGCCAAGGTACCCTCTCAAGAGGCTCTCCAAGTGGAAGCACAAACTAAGCGCATAAATGTGCACGTCAGCCTGACCCTATTCTGTGGCTTCAGCAGTTCCAAGTGTGGCCATTCAAACATGTGCATTGGAAACGCAGCACGGAAAGTTTGCAATCGTCCCATTCAAATGTGAGATCCTCGGCACAATAGAGCTATTTTACCCCACCACCACGATTGTGACTAAGGCATCGGTAAGAGCGGTCAATCCAACTGAAACAATTTAAATCAACTGCACCTGTGTTTAAGGGGGAGTGGCATTGTTTTAAATTTGTTTGGGAAACTATGGTATCTGTTACAAACATAAAAGTTTTATTTGATATTACAAAACCACTAAAAATAATACCTCCAGGAACACAGAGGCTTTAAGAAGATCGAAACTGGTAATAAACCTGTAACGTTCCAGGGACAAAATCTGGCATAGAGTGTTCTGTTATGTAAATGTTATCGGGTCTTTGGAGAAAATATAAAAGTGTTTAAATAAAAAATCAAATTGGCCACATCTATCTTTGTCCAAACATGGCAAGGTTAGTTTTGTAATGTGGGCCTCATTATGCTGCTGAAATAGTTTCTGTGACATTCATTGTTGTCCCCTAAAGGATGAATGTTTGTTTCCAAGATGTCGCAAAAAAAAGTACCCAACGTTTAATACATTTAATTTGAATTAGAATTTCCATGTTGTCATTTCCCATAAAGAATATACTAAGGTCAAATACAGTTTGTAACATTTTTTATTATAATATGCATTATCGTGATTATCATTTTCATTCTGCATTGTAGAAAAGAATAAATTTAGCAGCAATGTCAGCAGAATGTGCTGCCTAATTGATGTCATTTAGATGCCATCGCCGATGGCTTATCCGTTTCATTTGAATCTTAATTTCTTTGACTTAAAATAATCTCAGCGGCGTGATTTCCATTTAAGAGTTCAGTGATTCTTTCATACCAATATGGGTGTTACCATAACAACGTCGCTGAAATACAATGGAAACCTCACATCTATCTCCATTGTCCCGTGTGGCATGTGGCGAGGTTCCGAGCCCTGTGCAAGTTTTCCAAAATAACGTTATTGCCCTGCGACGACGGGGATAGATGTCGAAACAAAACCAAATTATATTTTAATAGCAATGGGAGAAGGGAAGCCCCCCCCCCCCCTCTCTAACTCTGCGCGTACGATATGTGCTGTGCCAGACGACGACGCCAAAAGCCTTGGTGACCGCGATGATGTCAACGGCGCTCAGACGGGTCTTGTTAAATTTAGCGCCCGACGGCGCTGACGTGGAGTAAGACAACACGACGATCAACAGACAAGCGGGGGGGGGGGGTGGACGTTGAGACGGGCGCTGCACTCAGCCCTCAAGGCCTCGCAAGGAAAGATTTGCACCTGGTGAAGCGTGCTGCCCTGATGCAAAAATACAGCAGCATCGGATGCACGCCTCTATTGCACCAGTAACGAAGTGCCCAAAATTCCAAGTGGCTAGCAACAGCACCATTTAAGGTGTAACAGAGAGGATTTAATTAGTTCCTTTGATTGAGTGAGGTTATCGGAACCTTAGAAAAACTAAGAATTGCTGATGTTGGGTTGGTGGGGCAACCAGACACTCAGTCTCGAGGGATGTCTACAAAGGTGGCCAATGGAAAGCAGCTTTCTGACCTTTGGGTACAGGTTTTTGTGCTATTCTCTTGTGCATGGGTACTCTGGTTTCCTACGCACGCCAAACACTCAAGGCATTTACTCAACCTCCCAAAGCAAATTCCTCCCATAGGAGTCCACGAACTCACCAAAACTTTCCTGGAAAACAAAGAACCATTATTATATAGAAAGCAGGAAGCAGCCAATCTAGGGAAAAGCCCATTCTGCAAATCCGATTATGGTCTGTTCACATTATCACGAGAAGCCGTGTCTGAAGCTATAAATAAAAAACATAATTCCAGACCTCCAGTTTTCTTTAAAAATCACAGCTTCCACAAGATAAACAAAATTAGATCCCAAAGCAAAGAAAAAAACCCAGTGTGCAGCTGAAATCAGCCTTCTGAATGCAAATGTAGTCTGAAGTTCTAAACCTTTTTAAGTGATAAAACTGGGATAACAGTGAACTTCAAAAAAAGGTTGTTGTATTTGGGCTTCAACCAGAATACAATAAAAAAATGTTGGGATAAGTTGCTTAAAATAACAATGATCCTTGGACCGAGTTTTTTTTTTATCTACAGCCACAAGGCCTGTTTTTGGCAAGAGGTTAGGGAATGTATTCTTTTATAGAGGAAGCACAAAAACTATTTGGTTTTGGAAAGTGGTTTCTATATACAAAGGTATCTCCAGACAATTAACAGACATGAAAGCATAATCTCAAATAGATGAATGGCGTGAAGAACTGTATACGTCTGAATTAAAGTATTTGGTGAGGTGGAAGTGATGCAGCAGCAGCAGCACAAAATAGACGCCATGAGGTAACTATTAATGTCCGTCTGAAAACTGGTCATCGTAAAATGTTAGAAAATATTTCTCATCAGGCCCCCAATGTCTCTTGCCTCTATATTTAAGTTCCACAAAGAAGGGCCGTTGCCCGAAACGTCAACCGATTATATATTTTTTCTTCTAAGGCCACAGTGTCGTTGACGAGTGTGTTGAGTTTTTTTCTTTCTTTATTTGTATTGTTGACGCGAAGAGCAGCCCATGAATTTAATCTGTACATGACTGATTAGATTAATCTGTTTTTACGGGCTCTCGGTCAAAATGAAGCGATATATTAAAAAAAGTGCAGTGGAAATAAATTGTATGTAAAAGACAACAGAGCACAAGATTACCATTATCATAAACAGTGAATGTTACCCAGTCAATTGCATGCATCATGGAACTACGCATGAAGTCCTACAATGGCCTATGTTGCCACGACACATAGCTTGTGCTTGTTGTCTGGTTCAGGTGAGTCAGGCGTTTGCCGCCTACTCACCTGCAACACACGTATCTTTCAAAACGAGGTCCTACTTAAACAAACAATTGAAGCGTTGTGCCATTGATAACGAAACTGAGACCATTAAATGAAAAAAAAAATAAACGCAGTTTAACCACAGGCAGCTGCCCAGACCGACACACAGAAGAACCCTCAGACAAAGCGTCGCTTCAGTTGTTCCGACAAAATTGTTGGCGCTCGCAGCTTCTCTCACGAAACGCTTACCCTCCCTCGAAGATTTTGACGCGCCTCGTTTCTGGGACAGCGCCGTCTCCCCCCCCTTCCCCCGTCGCTTCGTCCAGGCTCGGCGCCTTCCCCTGGTGGGCCGGCGCCTGCTGGGGTGCGGCTTTCCCTTCGTCCTTCACCTGGCAAATCTGAAAAGGGAGCAGAAAATGGGCCCTGCCGGTCACACATTCGGGTGTCGGTAACGGGAAACAACGGAGAGGTGTGCTGAGGGGGCCACACGGCCCTTGAGTGCGGAGGAACGGTGTTACGGAGTGGCGTTACATCCCAGCATCGTTGTATATTGCATCCCAATGTGATTCAAAGGTGCTGGAACAATGCTACGAAGAGGTTAAGAATGTGCGTTCGTGTCTTTGTTACATCCTAGCCTCATTAAATTATGTTGCAGGAACGCTTTTAAGTAAGGCTGATGTGTGTTTGTGTAGTCTATCCCAGCATAATTCATGCAAGCCGGAGAGATGTGAAAGAAATCCAATCCAATGAAATTTTGATTTGTGACAAGTCTAAATACAATGAATACATCAAGCTAGAACACTAAAACAGTGTTTAGAAACTTCGCCTTGCATCATAAATATGAGGCCTGTAAAGATGTGCCGTTTAAAACCTATCTTACACTCACAAATAAAACACATGCAGTAGCATAACGAGCATGGGGGCAGGGGGTGCTTTGGCCCCCGCTGGCAGAGGTCGCAAACGGGTTTTGATTCCTTACCCGTACCCGTACCCGGCCGCACCAGGGTCGAAAACGGGTACCCGTACCCTACCCGATACCCGGCTACCCGTACCCGGCCAGGTATCGTGTAGGGTACAGGTACGAGTACCCGATTGCGACCTCTGGGATGAAGCCATGTTGCAGGCGCGGGTGGGTTGATTCTAGGATCTTGAATTGTGAGAAGAGACAAGACGTTGGGAAATGAGTGACAAACGGTGACTCACCAGTGACTCACGGCCTACCCGTACCCATACCCGGCCGCACCAGGGTCGCAAACGGGTACCCGTACCCGTTACCCGACTGGGTACAGGTAGCCGGGTATCGGGTAGGGTACGGGTATCGGGTACCCGGTTGCGACCTCTGCCCGCTGGTGACCAAAGTTACGAGTTGGGGGGGGGGGGGGTCCTCCTTGACAATCACTGTGAGAAATATTTTCAATAACAGTGTAAAAGAACAAAACACTTATTTAAAAAGCGGTTTAAATCTGTTTTTTTTATCACAATACTTTCATTTACTTTCTACCTTTTTTCCAATTTAATTAGAGCAGTAAAACGTTTGGCTCCGGCAAATTGCGCATCGTACGTCGATTTCTACGTTGTTGTCATAGTTTAAGCGGGTAGACGAGCAGAACATATCACAGTGGTCATAGTGGTCAGGGCGATAGGGGGAAGGTGTAATAAGGTGGCACACTTCGTTCCACGGGAGCACGTTCACTGGAAGCCACGTCAGTGACGTTTCGGTGAACCAAAGAATGAACGTTTGCCATTTGAGCACTCCCAATAAGCGGATCCCAGAGTCAAGTTCGAATCCAGTGCCGATGAGTGGTGCGACAGTGGGAGACAAATCAAATAAATAATGGGGGCCCTACCTCACCGATTGTCGCACCCTCTGAGCTGATAATCTCGTTATGCTACTGAGTGCATGCATATAAATGTGGGTGTAAAATATTAATGTATTCATACGCATTGTATCTAATGGGTTAATATGACCCAGACAGCAACTAGAGTTCACTCCATTCATCACAATGTAATACTGTATATTATTTATATTCTTGAATCGAATCGAGACCCCTGAATTATGACACTTCATCTAATCGAGAGGGAAGCAAATTGTTAAGATGCATGATGTGTATTCAGTCGTAGGCCTCTTTTCACATTACAGAGAGAAGGTAGCCAGAATATTTTAACTAAAGTTGATGAGAGAATGCTCAAAATATTTTGCCTTGAAAATACTGGAACAGTTCACACATGGACGTGTTTGCATTGGCAAAGGTTGGGTAGCAAAGAACAAAGTTTTAAATCGATCATAAGAAATCAATTCGAACGTAAGAAACATTTTCTGAGTGGAAACTGTTCTCACATTCATGTGTTGTATTTATCGTTTTAAATCATTACATACTTTATACAAGTGCTGATTTGGTGGTGGACGTTATGCACAGGTTTTCCACACAATATTGGCACAAATACATCAACGTTGTAAATGCATGGAAATATCCGTAATATATACACAATAATATACAAACACGTGTATATAGATATTCATTGTTTTCAATATAAAATATAAAATTCATGCTGACATCATAAATAATCCATCATTATTATTATTTACAGGCCTTTGTTAATCCACCACTCACACTCCACCATGCTGGTTAGCGCACGTTGCCGAAGGTAGAGGTGGGGGGGGCTAAGACCGGTTCAAAGGTCCATTGTCACTCAGGTTAGTCATGGCCGGGAATCTAACTCTGGTTGCCAAGAAATGGTGTGGTGCACGAACCGTCACCGGACCAGGTTCACTACACTAACCTTACAATAGATAAACACTGAAAATATTTTCCCCAATTAAACGGTCATTATACTGGTAGGAACCCACTGGATCCACCAGCTCACAGGGGATTATTGTGTCCGTCCATCGTGCAGGGAGGGGCTGGGTGGGAAAGGTGGGGAGGGGCTGGGTGGGGCGTGGGGAGGGTGGGGAGGGGCTGGGTGGGGGGTGGCAGGGGTGGGGCTGGGTGGGGAGGGGCTGGGTGGGGGGTGGCAGGGGTAGGGCTGGGTGGGGAGGGGCTGGGTCACCCTGTGGTGCCCTTATAAAACTCAACGTTTAACCTACTCACGCCGGCTTGTGCCCGCCCTCACAGTCGGGCATATTTGCGGAATACACCACGCCGCCGTTGACCCTGGCCATTGACCGAGCAACCCAACGTTCCTACCAGCTCCCTCAGCAGGAATGTGTTACCATCAGCATCATGTCATGCGATGAAAAAATTCCATCCGTAACCATTATAGAAAGTAGTGTAACATCAGCCTGTTGTTAGAGAACCCTCTTTGGAATGTGAGATCACAACACTACTTGTTATACGCATTAAATTGTCTCTTATCCATGTGCCCCGCTGTAGAGGTTATTCTGTTGCGTGGCAATCAACCAGAAATGTTTTAGTTCCAAGGGCTGAAACTGCTGAACTCAATGAAAAACAAATGTAATATTGTTTTTTTGTTCATGTGTATTCATTTGAGACCAGGCTGAGATCATCAACTCATTATAATTTAATAACGGGTGGCTGTCCAGATTCAAACTGAGGATCTCAGTGGTGCCAGCGCAACACTGACAATGCAGCAGGAGGAGCATGAACCTATCCAGCCACCTCATATTAGGGCCATTTTAAAGTCCCATTTGTCCATGTAAAAATAATACGGCAACTTTAATAAATACACCTCCAATTTGCACGGTTGGCTACGTCCAGTGTAAAAGAAGTTCCACGTATATACATACAGGTATAAGTACGGTAAAACCTTGGATTGCGAGTAACTTGGTCTGCGAGTGTTTTGCAAGACGAACAATTTTTTAAAATAAATATTAATTTGATAAACGAGCGAAGTCTTGCAATACGAGTAGTACGTGTATACGCTTTGTCTGCCGAGCGTCACGTGATCACAACTGATATACGAGTGCTTTGGATTACAAACACGTTTCCGGAACGAATTATGCTCGCAATCCAAGGTTTTACTGTATAAGCTTATGACAGTAAAACGATAAAGATGCAAGCCCTGCAAATTGCTCGCTCACGCCACCGCTAACGGGAAGGGCCTCCACTAGAAGGAGCTCGATAGAGCCCCTGTAGAGGGTTGTTTACCCAGCCAAACATCTTGGAAGAGGAGGGAGTCCCCACACGCCACCCCACCACATGCTCGCTGGCGATCGGCTGTGTCACAGCCTTTTCCCATTATTTCAACTGCCGTGCCGAGAGATCGAACCTGGCAACCAGCTCTGGGTTTGCAAGTCCAGCCTGCTGACCATTGCAAAACGACAGCATCTTAAGAATAAAAAATAAATATCACTTTTAATAACATTTATGTTCACCTTCTGCAAGTAATCTGTTGCGATAGCACTCGGTATCTTTGGCAAAAAAAAAACGGGTTTCCAAAACACTGGCACTGTTTTATGAGTCACTGAGTCAGACCTTTCAAGTTTCACAAAACACAAACTCAGACTGTTTAGCAATGGGTGGGTCACCCTCGATCATCAACAATGTTCTGCAGTAACGCAAGAGTCACCGAAGAGCTGAGCGGATGTTGGTAATAACTCAAGCAATGTTCAAACAACAAAGGGAGTCACTGCCGCTCATGAGCAAAGAATGAAGAGACTTGAAAAGTAATTTAGACTTAAATGAAAATAGTGGAATCAGCCGGGTGGCTGAATGACAAATGACAACACTCTGGCATGGCACTTGGCAAGGACTTCAAAGGTCCTGAGAGAAATGTGATGAATTTGTGGCACTTCATAGTTATTTAATCACTCGAAAACAATTAAGAATAATTTCATATTTTTTTCCCCTCGGTGAGGGTCTGGATAACGGTAATTGTGTAGGGAATGATTTATATATATATTGCAGTTTTTACAACATAGTTGTGGGTAATTTTACAATTGTGAATTTTACACTGCAAGACAATTAAATCAATGTCCTTACTCTTTGCAAATCAAAAAAGTCCAAGAAATGTACTGCACATCAAAGTGATACATTCAGTAACATCACCAGTGACTGTTCTCTGGCAATTGAAACCAGACGTTCCAGTGACTGGCAACGTGTTTCAACAACAAATATCAAGCGCACAGTAATGTCGTTCAAGCTAATTAAAGCCTCAGATCACCACCCAGCAGCCTTGATTTGCTTAGCATTCAGACTGCGACAGTCCCTTGATTAGGCATATATTTAAATCCAAAGGGATTTCAGTCCCTAAAAAGACAGCCCAGAGTGAAGATGCCATTAGTGGCTATAACGACCTATCTATTAAGCCACTTGTCTCATTTGTGTGCCTTAATATAACTCAAAGAAGTGTGTGTGCCAATGCCGCCGAATCATAATAATAGCCCTACGCAGCCCAATGCATGGAACGCCATGAGCGTAGCATACTCGGGGCAAACCATTCTTAATTACCGATCGATTCACTATCTGTCACCCGAGCTCAAATGAACTATGCCATGGTGTTGCTGCTCACGCTGGGAGGTGTATATATATAAATACAAATACAAGCAGAGATCTCTCTCTCTCGTGTGTTTTGGGTTGTTACCGCATGTTGTCCGGCCGGCCTACATCAGACACCAGCAGCCGGCAACACGGTACCCACGGGAGAATGCAAGCTGCTCAATTCCGTTCCCGAAGATGGCTCCCAGCACGTGGGGCAGAACATTGGATATTATTCTTACCTCCGATGAGCACAGTTGGATGTGTACGGTGCAAAAGAAGTTCAACATACATATATAGGTTACGGTGCAAAACATGCGGTAACAACCCGAAAACACACTTGACAGCACAACGGCAAAACCCTACAAAGTCGTCTTCGTTGTACAGCCCATAAACATCAACTGTCGGAGCTTCAGTTGTAAATGGTTTAGCCGTTCCATTGCTTTGTCTGAGAGCTGGTAAATTGCACATCCACCACCGCATGCACAGTGGTACACAAGAGGGAACCTATACACTGTGCCCTCATAAGCAGAAGAACTGGATGGGACATGATGTCACTTTAGTATGTAAACAGGATCGTTATCCCACCACGGGATGGGTCGGGTCCTTCTTCTCCCCATGCTGGGCCTCTTACGCAATAACGCCACGTCAGCACCTGAAGACACAATGGGGATTTTTTTTTACGGTAGCCGCCTGGCCCCCAACCATCACGAGGTACAACATTGCCAAACAAGAGACCTTATCTAACTATTTCTTCATATAAGGCCCACTGAGCTACGTAGCTCTTTGTCAGAAGCGACCGGGCAATAAATGCGAGCTCGACAAAGTGGCTGATCGTGTAGACATTTACAGCACCCAAACACTCTAAACGCGTGCTTCTAAATGTGGAGGGGAAGACCGGAGGACCCGGACAAAAATCCACACGACCACGGGGAGAGAGAGACGCGCAAACTCCAAATATACAGCAGCAGGCGTCAGGGTCGGGATCGAACCCACGACCTCCTGTATACCAGGCGAGGTAGTTAACATCTCCTAGCCACCGTGATGATGCTGAGAGAGACGCGCACACTCCAAATATACAGCAGCAGGCGTCAGGGTCGGGATCGAACCCACGACCTCCTGTATACCAGGCGAGGTAGTTAACATCTCCTAGCCACCGTGATGATGCTGAGAGAGACACGCAAACTCCAAATATACAGCAGCAGGCATCAGGATCAGGATCGAACCCACGACCTCCTGTATACCAGGCGAGGTAGTTAACATCTACTAGCCACCGTGATGATGCTGAGAGAGACACGCAAACTCCAAATATACAGCAGCAGGCGTCAGGGTCAGGATCGAACCCACGACCTCCTGTATACCAGGCGAGGTAGTTAACATCTACTAGCCACCGTGATGATGCTGAGAGAGACACGCAAACTCCAAATATACAGCAGCAGGCGTCAGGGTCAGGATCGAACCCACGACCTCCTGTATACCAGGCGAGGTAGTTAACATCTCGCCACCATGGTGCCCTCACTACTCACGCTCTCACTCGCTTTCTCCTCTCGAGAACCATGGGAACCCTTTGGCCACATACTTCACTAAGGTTTAGGGCACAGATGGCCATGAGAGTTGCACTATCGTTAGAAAGAGTAAAAGCATTTTAATCTTATGGCGTCCAGTACTACCCGTCATAGGAACGTGTAATTCCCCCCAGTGAATCAGGGCCACCGACTGATACGAGCTGCACCCAATGCTCATTCTGAGCATTTATACACTGCGACTGGAGTGTATATACAAAACGTCAATTTTAAATCGAATGCGCGACTTATTCGCTAAGAATATTTTACAAACGGAGCTTCAAAATATTGCAAGCTTAATGTTAACTTTGTAAGTATCGGGATTCAAATCAACATATTGTGACAGCCCACTGTAGAATGATATGTTTTACACTTCATGCTCATGACGGCACACTATGTACACAGGGGGAGCCGTGGGGCAATGGTAATTATCATGCACTGCACTATGAACCTGCCAACCTGAATTCGATTCCCAGAGCCACGGCCACTCTCAGTGGCGCGTGAGCCCTGAAACGGTTCTAGGCACTTCCTCCCCTTGCCAACTTCGCCAATCCACAACAACGAGCGGTGAAGTATGGTCAAGCTACTCCCACGACCGACACGGCTTGGGGGAGGGCCTTCCCCCTCAGCAGTGGATTAACAACGGCTGTTGAGAATTAGCTCTTCACTGCGTTTTATGGTTGTGCTGCTCGTGTTGTTCGGCATAATGTTCCGACGTTTCAGTCCGCGTGCCGGGAGCATGATTCGGTTCCTAAAGAAGCTGCCGGACATGTTGACCGCATTTTTGGACATCATACCAAAAACACACACACACACACTCCCCGTACAACCAGAAAACACATCGGAGAGCTCAACAGTGCAAGTAGTGGGGCCAATGCTTCTCTGTATACTGTACACACATGAGTATTGCAGTCGTGACAACCCATGTTCCCAAGGGTCTCTTCCCTCCCCCCCACCCCCGTCTCACGCGCGCCCGCAGAATCTGAAGACTTTCCATGGAAAAGGCTGCGGCAGGGAGAGTGAGCGCCGTTTGGCAGCATTCCTCCAGCGACAGCTTCTCTCCGGCCGTCACGAGCTCAGAGCAACGCAAGCCGCCTTTGGCTCATTCATTTTCCAAGAAGGGTATTCGCAAGGCACGTAACTAAGTGACCCTAATCCACCCCATCGCCCACCGTCAACCCCCAGCGCCGACCCCGGCAAAATGTTCGAACGGTCACATTTCACGGTCGTGATTCCATTCGTTTGATTCCATTTGTTTCGTTTGTGCTGCCTTGTTTGCTTTGCGTGTCTCGCTAGTTCCAATATCCTGAATATCACAGTTAACATACAATTATCATGAAGTGTAAGCGATTCTTACATTCACGGTTCAATGTGTGTATTGTGGGCGAAATAGAGCCAATGAAACATTACGTTCCTATAATGAAGCTTCCAGCACAATAAAAAATGTGATCATTCTAAATTTTAATTGCAGTCTTGTGCATCTTTTTAACTCGCCGGGGATTCATCAGAGTACATCTTGTGCAATACAGACCTGGGAAAGGTGCTCGCAAATTACTACGATGGTGTGCAAACTAATCAGAAGATTGCTGGTTTTATAACAATGTTGCACAGGATAAAAAGAGCTTATAAAGTAGGCCTGAAATTAGTTTAGAATAACTTTTCACTCCTCACATATGAATATAGACCAAGCACCTGTTAACACGTTTTTAGTTAATAAGTTAGTACCTTATAGTAAAAAAAAACCTCTATTATGGATGATATTAGTCACGAAAGCCTACTTGTTAAAGTAGGCTAATTGTTATGTTTGGTGTTAATTTTGCTCAGGATCGTAAACAATTTGAAAGAGGAGTGTTTGCACCTTAGTCAAAATATTGCCCTCTTTAAATCATAACCAGGCCTGTATGGTGGCCAGGAGTTGGAAGAAGAGATCTATCTGTTCAGAGTTTGGAGTGTTACCCCCCCCCCTCCCCATTGGCATTGCGTGGGTATTCTCTTGGTACCCCTGCTTTCCACATGAAGCCAAACTCTTATTCATGGAATTGGCCAAACATTTCGATGGAGGATCCGACTGACAAAAAGGGAGACCCAAATTAGACCGCTCGCGAGTAAAGGATAATGTTATTCTACACCTGATACATTTTCTTTAAAAAAATAAAATTTGTTTTCCTGAACGTTTCCATAAACATGTTCACAGTCTTGTACAATTTAAACAAGTACAACACCGCATATCCAACTCACTAGGGACTGAGGTATATATAGGTGGATATGTGAAAAGGTTGGATATGTCAACGGCTATAGAAAGTGACGCTTACACGATGCACAAGTACTGCACTGGGTGTAGGCGATTAATTGTCCACGGTGGATACGCAACATAGTACTGTACTATGAGACTCAACAGATATCACCAAAATGCGACAAGTTCATTCAGAGGGAGCCGAGCGGAGCCGCGAGTCGCTCTGTCCAGTCTCACCTGCTGGCTGCTCTTCCACTCGCAGGACTGCACCACCCGCCCGTACTCCTGCGGCACAGCCACTGCCGTCGTGTACGCTCCGCAGCCGGGCCCACTGGGCGCCGGCGGCGGCGGCCTGCAACCGACACCGCCGGCGCCACCCGCGCCACCGCCCGCCGCCTTCTCTCCGTCACCGACGTCCCAGCGAGAATACACCGACGCCCTGCCGTCACCCTGCGCGTGGTGGCTCGGCTGCGCCTGCAGGTAGCACCACGACACGTCCGCTGCGCCGTTCGTCCCCGGGAGAGGGGGGCCGCCTCCCCCGCTCGGAGCTGCGCAGGGCCGAGGGTCGGCGGCGTCCACCTCGCCGGCCGTCACCGTCACCGTCACCGAGGAGTCACGTCCTCTGCTCCTGGGCGTCTCGGAGGCGTGTTCCGCCGACTCCTCCGGCTTCGAAGCGGAGACCGACGGGTCCTCCACCCTCTCCTGCCGCTGCAGGAAGGGCTTGCGCGGCTTGGTGGGAGCGGCGTTCGCCTGCGCGCCGTCAGCTCCGAACGCCGCCTGCTTCGCGCACTTGCCGTGCTGCCGCTCGGCGGCGGGCCCCTCTCCCACTTCGTCTGCGGTGGCAAGCGGTCGTTTCCTGCAGGGCGCCTCCGCCGACGGATTTCCCGCAAGGGAAGCGGCAGCGGCTGACGGAGCGGCGGCCGGAGAAGGGGGGCGCGAGCCCGCCTTGTGACGGCCGCCCGGAGGAGCCACGAGGACGCCAGCGTTTGGGGGGCCCGCGCAGGCGCGTGCATCGAAGCCGGCGCCGCGTGGCTGACAAGGGTCGGGGTGAGGGACCGGTGCGGCCGGAGTGGGAGCCCGAGACGAGGACGGGACAGCGTCCCCTGGAAGAGGCGCCGAGCAGACTGGAGCTGCGCCGCGAGGAGGGACGAGGAGAGATGCCGCGGGGTGTTCAGGAGCTGTGACAGCGTTCGGCTCGTCCGACTCCGGAGCCGGGGAGAGTTTTCTGGCCGAATGTTCCGCCGCTGCACTTGACGCCCGATCCTCGGGGGATGATGCAGCAGCAATGGGAGCTTGAGTGGGATGCGGTGCGAGGGTTTTACTTTGGCTTTCGTGATTGGACGATGGGGATGATGTTTCTCGGTCCCGATGGAATGAAGATGGCGACAGCGGTGGGTGAACCTGAGGTAAGGCTGCTGGTGTGGATAGTATTGACACCTGAGGGGAAAGCTGGAGAGTGCCTTGAGGTGGTGAAGATGTTGAGCCACATGGGAGCTCTTCTGAGCATGACACAGGCATGGCAACACCTTGGGGCGGCAAGGACGATTTAGGAACGGCACACGAGTCCTCGGGTTCATGACCCTTTATCGCTAAACACCTGTCGCGCAATGAGGCGTCACAGCTGCCAAAATCTCGTACAGATTCCAGAACGTCGGAGCGATGTTGAGGCTTGTTTATCAGGGGTGATGACGCACGTTCAGCGATGCGGCCCGGCTGAATCTGGTAGTGGGGGATAAAGAGCTGGTCTCGATTTGGCTCCTTGCCACGCTCTACCACTGAGGTGGGTGTGGAAGCGGTAACCAAGGGCGAGGGCCGCAGCGTTGAGTGCAGCATCGTAGAGCGTGGAGGCGGACGCATGACCGATGCTGGAGCGGCACCCGGCTCTTCGTCGCCCAAGTCCAGCGAGCGGCTGCGGAGCATTTCAGACACCTCGACGAACGGTGGAGAGCCAGCCGCCTGCTCGGACGACGTGCGCCGCATGGGCCCCCTCTGCTGCTGCTCCAGTGGTTGCACGAGACCCACGCTTGGATACACCCCATCGCCCGGGTTGGAACCCCAGGGACCTCTCCTGCTGCTCGGTTCCCCATTGGAGGCGTCGTCAAAATTTTGGTCCAATATTACACGTCGCATTTGTTGCTTCTTCGGGTGCAGTTTCTTCACGGACACTTGCGAGCAATCGCTGACTGGAGCGTCCACATGCTGCTGCTGCTGCTGCTCGAACTTATTCCTCTGCGAGTCTGTGCTGATCAATATTTTCGGAATCTTGATGGCGATACCAGCAAGCGTCGGTGGAGGCTGTGGTGTAACCATCGCTCTGTTCTGGAAGCGGACGGCGCAGGGCGACGCTTCCTGTAAAACTTCGTCGCTCGATGCCTGGGCACTGGCGACGTCGCACGCTTTCCACGGAGCGCTTCTCAACAGTGTGGCCGAGCACTCCGCGGGGGGCTCGCTGCTGTCAACGGACTTCGCCTTGTTCAGGAATTTGGTATGCTGGATCACGGAGATTTGACCTCCGATCCTTCTTTGACCGACCGAGTCAGCACGCGTCACATCGAATGAACTCGCTCTCGCCATGGGCGGTACATCGAAAGACTTTGCCCGCCCAAAGGTGGCGAAGCCCTCGCCCAACCTCCCCTGATCAGACATCGCTCCGTTTCCAACTCGGGGCGGCACGCACAGCAGTGGCACCGTCTTAGCGAAGGAGCCGGAAGACAACGCCTGCTCGTTCCCGCCTGCCCTGGCATCCGAGCCCTCAAAGCGCACGCATGGGAACACGAAGGCACTGCTGCCATTTGCACCCAATTTGTCCAGCAGCGTCATGGACTTGCCCAGGTCGGGCTCCGGCTTCCCGACGAACGTCGTCAAGACGCGGGCGCCGAGCGCGGCAGGCGGCGTAATCCGGCCGCCGGGGACTGCCGCTTCCTCCTCGTCTCTGTCCCCCGAGCCGTGTGCCCTCTTGCGCTTCTTCATGAGCGGCGCCTTCTCTAGGCTGTCGACCGACACCTTGTAGTGGCCCAACTGCGGGTGGGTGTTGCCAGCGGGCTGCGGGCCCAGGGAGCGCGTGCGCGGTGCGTGCAGCTCCGAGCAGTAGTACTTCTTGTGCGCCTCGTAGTTCTCGGGCTTGCGGTACTTGACGCCGCACGTGTCGCACTCGAACATGAGCCCGCGGCCGCGTGCCGCGCGCCGGCCCCTCCTGCCGCCCTCGGGCCTCCGCTCGCCGGCCACCTCGTCGAGCGAGCGACTCTTGGGGAAATGGTCGCCGTCGCCTTCGGCCACGACGGACTGCTTTCGCGACGCCTCGTCCACCGACTGCGTCTTGAGACGCGCCGCGTCCTCGTCCACGGCTCCCTGGCGCGTGAGGCGCGGGGACTGCGACGGGGGGCTCTGGCCCGGCCCCGGCGTGAACACGTCGTCGCACTGCGACTCGAAGCTGTGCCCCAGCGAGCCGGACGACGCAAACTTGGAGACGCGCGGCGCGGACGCCCTGCCGTCGGTCCTGTGCGCGCCGCGTTCTTTTGGCGGAGGGAAGAGCGGCATCCAGGGCTTGACGCCGCTTTTGCCATGGGGGGAAAACGGCGGGGGACTCCTCATAAGCTCGGGGCCCGCACGGCCGTGTGGGTCCTGGGGCCGCAGGTCGAACTGGAACGAGTCCTTGAAGGTGTAGGGCCGCGGGGAGTCGATGCTGGCTCGGCGCGCGCACGACGCTCGCCGCGGCTTCACGCTGTCCAGCTCGCGGTTGTCCACCAGCGCCTCGTTCTGCGAGATCAGCTTGTCGATGTGGTCGCCGATGTGCTTGTCGATGGCCACGCGCTCCGCACTGGGCGGCACCATCCGCATTGCGGCCGCCGCAGCCGGCGCGACGGCAAACACGGGCGGCCGCGAGTTCACGGGCCTCGCCTCCCCACTGCCGCTCTCAGTGAAGGAGAAGTGCTGCGCTGTAGTTGGTGTGACGGACGGCAGTTCCAGGCTTTCAGAAAAAGACCGGTAGCCAGAGTCATTCCTGTTCTTCCCCATGGGGCTGCCGGATTCGGATTCGAAGCTGATTTTCAGGTGGCGCATCTCAAACTTGTGCTGCTCAATTCCCTGCGCGCGCTCCACGGAGAGGTCCCTCGTGGGCTCGGCAGCTTCGGCTCGCTCGTCCGCGCACGCTCGCCGCCCGTCGCCGCCGTTGCACTTCCGGTCGTCCCGAGCGGGCTCGATCTCCGTGTGGGCTCCGTGCACGAAGGCGCCTGGTTCCGAGACGGTTGACTGCGTCGGGACCCAGCCCAGGACGACGCGGCCACAGGCGACGGCCGCCTCGGGGCTGTCGTCCGTGTCCGAGTCGTCGTCGCCGTCGCAGTCGGAGGCGGCGTCGTCCCCGTCGTCCCGGCCGCTGCCCTCCCCCTGCTGCTGCTGCTCGACGCTCGTGCCGCACGAGCCGCCCTCGCGCTGCACGTGCGCCTGCGACTTCATGTGCTTGGACAGGTTGCTCTTGGTCTTGAAGGCGCTGTTGCAGATGCTGCACGGGTAGGGCCGCTCGCCCGTGTGCGAGCGCACGTGCTTCTCCAGCACGCTGGGCTTGGCACAGCCCATGCCGCACGTCTCACACACGTAGCGGCCCAGGCGCTTGGGCCGTTCCTTGGCGGCGCCCGGCGCTTCGCACGCCGCCTCCTCGCCCACCTGCAGACCGCCCACGTTCGCCCTGCCCCCTTGCCCGTTGGGGAAGCACGCTGGCTGCGACACCAGGGCGCTGGCGGTGTAGGCCATCGTCAGGCATTCACCCATCCTCCCCGGACTTAATGAGAGCACCGCCCGGGCAACGTCCTGCTGTTGCTGCTGGTACTGCTGCTGGTACTGCTGGTGCTGTCTGGTGGCCAGGTGCTCAACATGTAGGCGCTGCGCAGGGCACACGACAGCCGGGAGGCCGCGATGCAGCGCCGCCGGGGCTGCGGGGGGCGGCACGTGCGTCACGTAGGCCCGCTCGCCGGTGCCAAACGGCACCGACATGCCGCTGGGCTGCGGCGGGCCGCCGAACTCGGGCCCCGCGGCCTGCAGCAGGGCTTCCAGCGCGACGTTGCCGCTCGTGGGGTCCCCGCCGGATCGAGACGCTCTCACGCCAGCCCGCCCAGCACTGGCGGGCTCCTCATCATCGCCTGGCTCGCCGGCGGCCGTCTCCGGGACGGTGGATGTGCTCTCGCTCGCGTTCCCGTCGGTCGCCCGCTCGGCTGCCACTCGCTCAGTTGCTCGGTCCGAAGTGGTCGTCAGCGATGGCCGCCCGCCGTTGTGGTCAGCGGGGATCGGTGGCTCCGTATCCGCAGAGCCCTCGTTTGTCGGTTTGAGTTTGACTTTTTTGAAGTCGGGTCGACAGCCCCCTGTTTCTGCGGAGACGAGACAGTAGCAGAAAGAGTCGCTCAAGTTTAAACGACAACAGGTGAGAATCAGCAGCTTAAACTGAGCCAATTTCACATTGTTACTTACATTCAATTCTAAATTGAATTCAAAAGTATCCTGTGGAGAAACAAATAAACTCACCACCTATGTCAGAAAATATTGCCTTATAATATGAAATTATAGAAAGCGGTGCTTTTTTAATGTTTACTACTGTATACTTTCTATTTGAAAGCAGTTGCTAATGATGCAGGTGGTGGGTTTTTTACAGAATTTTTTTTTCCTTGTACACCACTGCCAAAACCCCTCGCCCTTAGGTTTTTATTTATTTGCATCACCTACGGGGGAGAGACTTTGCCTCCACGTCAAGAAAGTGGAATTTCCAAAGGCTCAGGGCCAGCAAAGGAGATGAGCAAACTACGCAGCCGTCACGATCATGAGAGCACGGAGAGACACTTCGACTTGATTCACGCTTCCTCCACGCGTATGCAGACTCAAAAAAACATCAAATGCCCAAACATTCCACAGAGCGCTCTACTGAAATAGTCTTTAGGAGTGTTTTTTTCTCTCGTCTGGTGAATCAAAATAAATAAATAACGTCTCAAATTAATTAGGTGCACACAAAAAAGCCAATCTGGGACCTTGATCGACGAAATTGTCGAACAAACGGCCCGCCCCTTAACAAATGACAATACAGGGTTGTCTTTAACGTCCACTTTCAACAGACTTTACTGCACCCGACGGAAACCACCGGGGGGAGAAGGGCGGATCCGGGGGGGGGGGGGGGCGGTGAGATTTTTTTCTTCATTTTTTTAAACTTACGAATCATTCGGTGTGCCAGTGACACGGCCACGCAAATGACTCGCAGCAGCGGCTCAAGTTGTGCGCCGGCCTGAGAAGTGAGCTCATTTTCTGTTCGACTTCACAGAAGGAAATGACACCGGGGAACCGCAGCGGAGCAACATCTGCTCGCGAAAAGGACACGCAACGGTTGGACGGGCTCGCCCCCCCACCGCATTCCTTGCCATCGGCGCAGCATTAAGAGTCTGCGGTGGGCGAGGGCTTACGCCGCGATTCTTGGCAGGGTTAAACCGTTTCCATAACAGTTTGGGTTTTTAAACAAAACACTAAAAAACAGCAAACAAAAGGGGGGGGGGTCTGCCTATTGTTAAGAACCAAGTTGAAATCCAATCATTTATGAGCATATTTTTTTTATTTTGCAATATGTCAAGTGGCAAGTGAAGATTTAAATTAATTCCTTTGCCAAGGCTTACTGCATTAAGAATAACAGTCATAAATAATAATGTCCTTCTTAAATCAACTGTTAAATGTTTTTTTTTCAACTGTAGTGTTTGCTCACGGTTGCTACTGCTTTGGTAATACTCAGTATAAGTTAGAGGTGTGACGGTGCATCAATCCCTCTATTCATATAAATACTTAAGCTCGCAATACTTGCATATTGATCACGTGTGTCGGAATCAACTTTTTTTAAATTCGTTAAATGTTGTATCTAATGTGATGATTATGATCCTAGAAGCCACGATTGGCCATGGCCATTACATACCCCATGCTAAGAAAATAATTCATCTTGATTCAAAGCATAACCCTAAATTCACACAAATTTTGAATTGAATTTCTACTCAGGGGGTGGGGCACAAGGGAGGCCCGTGAATCGTTACAACTCCAAGTAGAAGTCACCAGGCCGGTTGTAGGATTTGCACAGTCCCTAGCAGTGACTCAGCGATGAGCCCACTGCCCACTGGAGACACTCAGCCACTTGGCTAAACATTCTGACGATGACTGACGATATTTCCCGACAGAAAGGTGCGGAGGTGCGGCAAGAGCGGTAACGAACCTGTGCTGCTGGCTCCTGATGACGGTGGCCTCAGCAGAGCAGTGCCCACGAGCTCCCTCTTGGCTTCCTCTCGTTTATCTGCGGCAGACAAAACCGCGAGAGACAGGCTTTGGCACGACGTCACGAAACCCCCAAATCAACGGCGGCGCTCTCAGTCACACCGAGTGAAATTCCCCTGCAGGGTGAGGCAAACTTCCAAAGGTGCACGTTATTGCTGCGGCGAGTAAATAAGTAATGCAGCACAACGCAGACTTCCCCGTCGGTTGATAACGACTGTGACGGGGAGGGGGAGGGTTGTGGCATGCTGATGATTCAGACTGCAATCCTGATGAGTCCTTTTAAGGACAAAGCAGGTGTACAGTTGCCACTCTTGTTGTATTCTAACAAAGTGTAAGCCTGAAGTTGCTTGCTCACGCCACTGATAGCGCGAGCGCATCCGCTTGAGGGAGCTCAAGAGAGTCCCTTTAAAGGCCATTTGGCATACTCTTCCATACTTGGGAGTTACCCACACTTTACCCCACCACACGCGTGTCCGCCGAAACCTACTCGAACCAGAAAACAACAAGCAAGTTCCGCACGGTCAAGGCAGCAACCTGCCGGTTGAAGCGGAGATAGGCATCTTAAAGATAGAGAGCGCTTAATCAGCACCATCATTCACATATTTTGTTTGGTCAGTTGTTTGCTTTCATTCACCCCCTGACATTTCCGCATATCCGGTTTACGAGCACAGCACATCGGGGCAGGAGACAGTCCACGACTCGAACAGCATGCACAGAACTTGCACCAGGAAACCCGTGTGACGAGCTGACCAAATCTAAGTTCATCTCAACAACACCGAGTGGCCCGGATAGGGACACAAAGGGGGGCCTTGGAGTGCTTGTGATTGATGGAAGAGAAAGGCTGGGGTTCTCTGTGTCCCTGCCCGAGAGATGAAGCTCACGTGACTTACACTTTCCACAAGACGAGTCATGCCCCAGGAAACTGGAGTCCCCGAGTAGAGCGTCACAACAAAATGTGTTCGCGTTCAAACCTCACCGACGATAGGTAGGGGAGCGCGTGTGTGTGTGTGCCCGTGCGCGCCTGTGTGTTAGCAAATGTGTGTGTATGTATGGAGTGCTGGTGACAGGGTTTACACCTTTTCGACTCGGACCAAACCCAGACATATCTCAATCTACCGTAATTAGACTCAATACAATACCAGCAGATATTGGTACATATTGATTGCTGCCACCCGAACACAGATACCAATTCCAGGACCGTGGCAACCCTAGGTGTCGCAGTGGTTAGTGCACTGAACTACGGACCCAGTAACCCGAATTTTATTCCTGGCCAGGGCTAACACCAGTGGCAAGTTGTATTAGAACTTGTCCTGCGCCACCCCCTGACCACCTCACCTGCTTCTTTTACTCAATCTTAAAATTTAATTGAGTACCTTATACAGTGTTACAAACATCAGCGCTGGGGAGACACATGCCACCAGGTGTAGTAGCTAGCTATACTAACCACACTTGTGCAACAGCCATAGGCGGGGACCTCGCCAACGGCACTTTGCCACAAATGGAAGGAACACTACACAGGGGGATATTTTGTCTGTGCGTGTGGAGTGTGAGCACATTGCTCCTCAATCGCAGTGACCCAGCTTCCAGGCCTAGGTTTGGTGGCGATGGGTGGGTCGCACATTTGACCCTGGTCTCCTCCCGGTCAACTCTCGCCCTAAGTCCAAGGGGCTGAAACCCACCACTGCCTTTAATAGGGAAGCACGGGCATAGTGGACAACTGTGCAAAAAGAGCGTCACAGCTCATCGGATCCCTCCGGGCTGAATAAAAGATTATGATAATAGGCACTCGCTAACAAGTACTTGCCCCGACAGTACAGCACAGCAGATGCTAGATATAAGCACACCCCTTGGGAACAAGTGCAACTGTGCTTATATCTGAAGTGTGCTCGCATCATTAGCCACACACCCTTACATTGAGAGTGTAAAATGAGGATGTGTGGCTTATATTACAACTGTGATTATAGCTTCGACAAGCACTGTACACACATACAGAAAAAAAGAGGAAGCGTATCTATCGTACGAGGGGGTGTGGGTGCTTGCAACGCTATGCTTCGGTGATGTCATATATGGCAGTGTGCGATGGAGTCTGCGGGGAGCAGTGGCGCAGTGGTTAGCTTGCCGTGCTACGAACCCCGACATAGATTCCCGTTCACGGCCAACACCAGTTACGATTATCTGAACTGATCCCAAGCCTCTCCCATAGCTCGGTCAATTCAGCCTCAAATGAGGCTGAACTGGCACTTGCCCCAACAGTCTGTGAAGGCAATACGGGTGGACCTTTTGTCTTTGTGCCAGGCAGCCTGTCCACAAGTGGGACAGCTGGGGGCGTGGGGGCTTTTGCGCAGTGGCAGACGCCCGCGCCGAGCTGGAAGTGGCATCAGATGTCCCTCAAGGGGCTGAACAGGAAGACGTGGGGGGGTTGACTTGGAGCCTCGGGGCAGGAGGATACGCGAGGTGTGGGCGTTGGAAGGTGTGTGCGTCACGCCCATGTGTCTGTCACGCAGCCTTCTCTTGTCGTGACCCCCCCCACACACACACACATGAACTCCCTTCCCAAGACAAAGACGCGTTTCCCCTTTTCAACTGGTGGGAACGTTGGGGCGAACACCCGTTAAGGGTCGATAGACGGCCGCGTTTGTCTCTCTAATGTTGACCTTGCACGGGGAAAGACAAAAACTCGGGACACGCTGAGCGTTTGCTGTTGTTCGTGTGCAAGTGTCGGGATTCAAGGGTCGATTCTCTTTCGTTGTTCCACTGCGGTGAACGCGGCTGCCTCTCGTCACTGCAGCGGTCGCGTCAGCCACATTACATGCAACGTTTTGATGAAATGAAAACCGATTCTTAAGATACGCAATTCGATTTATGCATCATGAGCATAACAATCGACATCGACGAATCTATGTACGATTTACACCGCGAGCGTTAATCGCGACAACAATTACAATACTACAAAGAGTACCACACAAAGACAAAGATCCCCGGTATCGCATTTACAGACTTCTGGGGCAAAGTGCTTTCAGCTAACATCTTTGAAGTCCGGCACGGCGGTCAGCACCACACCCGGTCATCTTGGTCTTCTCAAGATTGCCATTTAAGGCTTAGTCACCTTAGGGGAGGCCCAAGACTGGTTCAAATATTCGCCACTGGTGTTGGTCATGAGCGATAATCGGACTCGGGTCTCGGGTTCCTAGTGCAATGGGCTAACCACGATACCACCAAGCAAACAAAACACTGACACCACCGCCCTCACATCCCCCAAACACAACGCTCAAGGCACCCGTTGCACACATGACCATGCGTAACATGTGACTCATACGCAAATGCCCTGGCAGGGTCTCACAGTTGGCGTTTCCCCCAGCTTGTTAATGGTTGCACAACAGATTCGTTGAACTGGGTGGCAATACCAGCTCGCGTGGTTTGTCATCTCAGTATTAGTGCCGTGAGGATAGTTTTTTTTACTTTATTTTCAAATTGCCAGTGTTGTAAAGAACAATAAAGTGGGGTAGGGCCGGTTCAAATATTTGTTTAATTTTTCAATGCCGAGTGGCTGTGCATTGCCAACAGGGGATTTTCAATTTCGTGAACTCTGCCCGTGACAGCAGCTCCACAGGAAACCACAAACTTCAAGCGTGTTTTGATACACAAGTGCTTGATTGTAAACATTAACATGTAAATCCCTTTTGTCAATCCACTGCTGGATGTATGAGGGCCTCCGGGGGTGGGGGAGTTATGGATAGTGCTTTGAAAGTGGGGGCAAAGGTTAAACAGCAAGCAGGGCAAAATATTCTCTAAAACCACAAAAGACTTGCCGAGTAATACGAGAGATGGTAAAAGAGACGTAAACGCGAAACTAAGCCATTGATGCTTGGGACTCCGTAAAACAATAAGGAAAAGAATGAGAAAGTAACATCAGAGAACACGACACAGAAATTACTGAATGTCACAGCGAGCAATGGGAGCATGAAAGCAGCAACAAGAATATGAAAAGGCATTTTGAGTGAGTGGGAATTGATGCGTATACATGGAGTTAAGATTCGAAACTGTAAGAGAAACAACTGTAATTGAGAACAAAGACATGATTATTACTGCTAAGAAAGGTATGCGGGTTTGGACAGCAACACGTCGAGACAAGGGATGATGGGTAGCGTGTGAGAATGATGATGCAGTGGCGGCCTCCGATACGGAATGATGAAATCAGCACGCTTGTAGGTGCTAGGCGGATTATTCAATTGTGGGGAGCGGCAGTGTAGCAGTTAGCGCGCTGTGCTACAAACCCGGCGACGCAAGTTCGATTTCCACTGACAGCCAACACCAGTGACGATTATCAAAACCAGTCCTGGGCCTCCCCTAGGTCGGCTCAGCCTTGGTGCGGTGTGTAAACATCGCCACTGGGGGAGACAAAAGTGGCCGGGCGCCGTGCCGACCACCCACCCCCTCGTGTGCCGTGCAGACTTTAATAGGTGCTCGCTAACAGCACTTGGCCCAACAGTCTGTTAAGACTATATGGGGGATCTTTGTCTTTGTTTAAATTCAGGAACGTAAGATATGGTGGCGGCTTGGGGACGGACTCTATCAAGCAGTGTATTGGTTACGGATTATTATAACGATGGTGTGCAACACTATGCTTCCAGCATCATCAGTTCCATTCCATCATTGAACACGAGTGGCACATGCCACACCAGGGCCACCTCTATGCACATGCAGATGCACTTGGGTGCCTAGTTGTTGTTGTTCCCCACTGTTGGTAGAATTCTCAGCACTTAAATAAAGATTGCCCGTTTGCAAAGAGTTTTCTTGCTTGTGCTTTTTTAAACTTCAAGCAGCAACGATGTGGGTCCGGTGAGAATGTGTTGGAATATTTGGCTCCGATGGATTCATCCCATTCATAACAATTGCTTTATAATTTGCACTATCTGTGTGGATGTTTGAGTGTTATACCCTCGCATGTGGGTATATATTTACATAAGGAATTGAAAAAAAAACCCAAACAGGGCCTTTCTTTCGGTAAAGTCACGTAGG